TGCCTTCATCCTCATCAGGAGAATCCTTATTAATTGAAGCTAATCAAACAAACGCACAAAGCTTTTTGGAGAATAATCAAACAAGAGCAGTTTCATCATCTAGTAGATCTGTTGATGTTGGTGCCTTGAAGGCCTTCGTGGATGGAAAGTATGCTCACGTAAGTTTTAATGTTTTTATGCATTTTGGTTGACCACATAATAGACCAAGGAGAAAATTAGAGAAAACACTTTAAAGAAGGATTTTAAACATATCTTTGATTATGATACTTTGCATTATCAAGAAGCCCGTAAAGTTTTGATGGGTTGGGCTAAACTTCATACTGAAGAACTTCCATTCGATTTGTTGGATATTCTTAGAAATGATTATGGTAAATTTGTTGCATTCTTTGAACAATTGGGTCATTTCAATACATCTTTGGTTGTCAAGATGGCTGTACAATTCTCCTTGTTTTCTGGTACTTTGGCAAACTTGGGAACTGACAGACATCACGACCTCGTCAGACAAGCTCAAACACTCCAAGTTTTGGGATGCTTTGGTATGACTGAAAAGGGACACGGTTCAAATGTTCGTGGTATTGAAACTACTGCCACTTATGATCCAAAGACTCAACAATTCATTGTCAATACACCAAATCCTAAGGCCATGAAGACTTGGATTGGTGGTGCTCAATATTGTCACTTTTCTGTAGTGTTTGCTCACTTGATTATTGGAGGAGAAAATAAGGGTGTTCATGTCTTTTTGGTTCCAATGCGTGACAGAAATACTCAAAAACTTTTACCAGGTGTTTATGTGGAAGATGTTGAATACAAATTGGGATTGAATGGTATTGACAATTATTCATTCGGATTCAATAATGTTCGTATTCCACGTACTAATCTCCTCAACAGATATTCAGATGTCACCCCAGAAGGTAAATATGTCTGTAAATTCAAGACTGAATCCCAACACTTTGGTGCTACTGTAGGTGAATTGAGTGGTGGTAGAATTGTTATTGGTGCTATCGGTAATGCTGCTGCCAAGTCTTGTCTCGCTATTGCCATCAAGTATGCTTTTGCTAGAAAGCAATTTGGTCCACCAGGCAAGTCTGAAATTTCAATCATGGAATATCCATCTCACTACACTAGATTAATGCCTCTTCTTGCCAGAACTTTTGCTATTGCCTCTGGTTTGGCTTATGTTCGTGACCAATATCGTCACAAGCACAAGAATGCTGAAGCTAATGCTTATGGTCACTGTTTGACCTCAGCTATTAAATCAGCTGCAAGCTTCCACACTCTTCACACTGCTGATATCTGTAGACAAGCTTGTGGTGGTGCTGGTTTCCGTGCTCCAAATTTAATTTCTGGATTCTTGAGAGATACTCACATCTTTGTCACTTTCGAAGGTGATAACCAAGTTTTACTCCAACAAGTTGCCAAATATCTCATTGCTCAATATGCTCAAGGTTGCAAGCAAGGTGGGTTCAAGGGTACTGTTTTCGAATACTATAAGAATGGTAAGGTTGAATTCGATGGTAAGGAAGATTTGACTTGTCCAAGATATCAATTATACTTGTTCAGAAACAGAGAAGTCAAGATGACTGAAGAATTGATTAAGAGACTCAGAGATAGAGAAAATAGAGGTGAAGACCAATGGGAATCATTCAAGAATGAAATTGTTTTTGCCAATGAACTCGGTTTGGCATTTGCTGATAGATTATTACATGAACAATTGCTTAAGGATTCACAACTCTGTGCCTTCTCCATTTCTGGTACTCTCAGTCTTTTGAGTAAGCTCAATGGTTTAGCTCAACTTCAAAAGTCATTGGCTTGGTTCGTCACTAATGATGTCTTGTGTAAGAATCTTGCCAAACAAGTTGATTCTTTGGTCGTTTCTTTATCTAAGGAAGTTAGCAAGATCTCTTTGGATTTGGTTGAATCATTTGATATTCCATCCAATATTCTCCCACCAAGAGCTGACTTGTCTGATTACTCTTGTGATACTCCACAACTCTAAACTGTAGATAATAATTGTAATTTTAATAGAATATTTATTTTAAACATCAAAACCTTCTAGTTTTTAACATTCTGTAATTTCAATCTTTTCACTAAATGGACATTCTCTTTCATCATTAATTCAAATGATTAGTTCCAGTTTGTTTTGATTAATGGCCTTATTACACAAATCATTCTCATAATTGTAATAATTGAGAATAATTGATTAACAGTTTATTATTCATCCTTTCTTAATTCTTGTCTAACTTTGTGATGTTTATCCAAAATTTTAACATTTCCTTCTTTGGAAATTCTAACCTTAATCCAAGTACAATTTGGAACATGCCAATCATAACCAGCCTTAAAATCCAAATGATATAATATAGTACCAATAACTCCTGCATGTGTTGAGAATAATACAGTTTCGCCAACATTCTTATGAAATACTTGATTTTGGACGAAATTCATTAATCTTGCATAAACTTCAGTATGACATTCCGCTTTAGGATCACATTTGAATGAGAGAAATTCGTCTTTGGAATTCCAAGTGTGATGAAAATCTTCCTCAATTTCTCTAATTTCCTCAAATGATTTTCCTTCCCAATGAGACATGAATTTCTCTCTCAATAGTTCAGTTTCTAATATCGGAATGTGTTGATGAGGAGTGTCTTTCAAGGCAATTTCAACTGTTTTTCTGGCACGTAACATGTCTGAACAGTAAACTGCAGAAAAGGGTTTCGTAACCTTTCGGAAAGTTTCGCATAACTCTTGAGCTTGCATTTCACCCAACTCATTGAGTGGAATGTCATTATGACCTTGTAACTTTCTTTCTAAATTCCAATTCGTCTGTCCATGACGAATCAAATACACATCCAACATTTCCATTTTGCTATTATTCGAATCTTGCATTTCACCTCCTTCTTGATGATTTAACATTTTTTTTTTGATTTGTTTTTTTTTGAAATAGACTTGGAATGCATTTTGAACTTGTTTTGAGGTAGGGACCTCTCTCTTAGATAACACTTAGTGTAAATAAAAATAGAATTCTCTTAAGGGGAACAATAGAAATGAAAATGGCGGGAAGAATCTACTCAATTTCAAGTAAGACTTTATTGAATAAACTAATTGTAATATTATTAGAAACTATTCTTCTGCAACCCAACGTCCAAGCAGAAATCATAATTCAAACTGCCAAAGAACAAGGAAAGAGTATCGACTCTCTCCAGCACATTATTGAACAACAGGGAAATCTTGAACTGAAAATGAAAGATCTTCTTGGAAAGCAAGAATTAAATATTGGAAATTTGGAAGAATTCTTTCAATTTTTAACGAATATGTGTGGATTGAATAATACAGGTCAAGATTTAGACGAAACAATTAGTTGTGATTCTGATAAAGCTGTGGTACGAACAAGAAAGAGATCGACAGCAACAATTATCAAACCCTCTGATCATGAAAAGGTGAAAATGAATTTAAAGTCAACTCAAGTTGGAAAACAATTTGCAGAGCAAAAGTTTCAACATGCTTTGGAATTTATTCGAAATCTGGATCGGGATCTCAAACTAAAGACATTAGAGTTACAAAAACTTCAGGAAGAAACTGCCTTTAAACAATCACTAGAATATACAGCTAACAAAACAAGGGACGAAACTGAACTTTCCCAAGATTTCTTAAAAATTAGGAGTTTCGTCTATAGTTTGGGAATTGAGTTTGCCAAGGCAGTTACCAAAAACAAGGATCGAATCAATGAAATTACTCTCGATTACTACAACAAAATTCCTTCAGAGTTGAGGAATTCCATTGAAAAGTCTGAAAATATTGATGAATTAATAGACGAACCACTATTCGAAACTCGTTACGTTAATTGGTTGATTGCTGAATCTGAGCCAAACGGAAGAATGAACGTTTACTATTGTACTGTCAGTTTATTGGAACAGAAAGTTTGTAGAACAGCAAGAAGAAACACAAAAGTCAACATCAAGCCAACCTGTCAATTAGAATGACATTTCATTTGACAATCTGACATGAAATAAAAATGAACGATTTTGGTTCTATACGTGATGCACTAGTGAGTCTTCTCTATGAATATGCCTTGTTGAAAGGTAAAACAAACTTGACCATGGTTCAGATTTCAAAATCACTTCGAGAGAATCAATATAATGTAGAGAGAGTAAAACAAATTTTCGAATTAGATAATGGAAACCTTTCGAAAAATAACGGTCCAAATGAACGAGTTGCCAATTTCCTTCTCAATATTGACAAGACAGAGCAGGAAGAGAATTTGACACTGCATCAAATTCAACTTGAATATCAAGAGAGATTGAAAGATGCAGAAGAGAAGGATAAAGAAATCATCGAACTTCAAACAAGATTAGTCAACGCAAGTGCTCTCATTGATCAAATGAAACAACAACAAGGCGAAATGCATCAAGTTTCGAATGAGAAACAGAACCTATTAGATCAAGAAACCCAACAAATCCAAAGAATTCAACAATTGAGAGAGAAAATGCACGATCTTTCCACTGTGAATGGCATGGATGATTTTGGAATTTGTGAGTGTTCGAATTGGTGTAAATTTCTGGTGTGTTCTTCCTTCTCGTTGATCATCCTTGCGTGTTGCTTGTTGTTGATTGTGATTTTAGTAATTGTTGGTTTGGCTCTTTATAAACGATTTGAAATGATTTGAAATAATTTTAATATAATTATTAGAAATGTTTGGCAAACTATTTATTAAATTCACTTTTTTAAATCAGAAATGAGAATTGTCAAGACAAATAGTAATCCAGTTAGTAGGAGAGCAAGACAAAAACAGCCAACAATTAGGAGGCATACACTAATGCTAATACAATATTTGTTACAACAGATTCTTTTGACCAACTTTCGAATAATCAAACTAAAGAATGCATCATCACTTTGAGAGAGAAATCGAGAAAAGAGGGAATGTGGATGATCATCCACGAGTGGATTTTCCTCCTTTCTAACAAGACATGATGGCTCTTCCTCACTATCAGAAGCACAGAACGTGTATTCATCATTCGTCATTTTCTTATTTTTGAATCTTGATCAAAAAAATGTCACAAACCAAATTCTCATCCTACTTTGCCATCACTCGCAAAGTCATCTGTTACATTGTCTTGAGTATTTACAGTCTAGCTTGTCTTTCCACTTGTGGTTTAAATATTGGATGTGCTGTCACTTTTCCAAGAGATTGTGAATTCCAATTCTCTGTCAGATTGGACATTGTCATTTCAGTTTTTGCTTTTATTAACTTTCTCTCAAGTGTTGCCGTCTTGATTGTTCAGATCATTCACGACTCACAAAAGATGGGTCCCATCACCATTGTCCGACTCAGAATCGTATTATACTTGTGCACAACCTTGATGTTCATGTTTACTGGAATGTGTTTATTATTGGATCCAGTGTCAATTTCCTTTGAGGATTTGTATACTGGATCGTGTCAGAGAGGTGAAACTAATGTGGATATTAATGCTGCTGCCATTGCTTTGGATTGTCTTGCATTTGTTTCATTGTTTTGTTTTGTTTTTATTTATGGATTTGAGTTTGTGAATGGAGCACAAGAAAAAACCAATCTTTCGCAATAGATGGAAGATTTCAGATAGATTGAAATGAAAATAAATCGACGCATGTTTCTTCTGGAATAGATTATTTTATTGGAAACTAAAAAATAATTAAAAAAAATGGAAAGCTTTCAATGGGTCAGTAATAATACACAATGTTGAATATTAATTTCTCATCATTGTCACAGTCCGATAAAAATTATATTCTCGAGCAAATTAAATGGAATGATTGTTCGTGTTTGGAGAAAGTAAACGAAACTTTAAAGAAGGACCGAGAATTCGTTTTGGAAACTATTAAAAAACATGGATCAGCACTCGAATATGCCGATGAATCCCTCAAGCAAGATAGAGAATTTATATTGACAGCTGTCAAAACGAATGGAAATTCATTTCGTTACATTGATGAAAAATTTAAAAAAGATCGAGAAATTGTTTTGGAGGGATTTAAAGAAAATTTATCTGCACTTGAATATGCTGATAAATCATTGAAAAAAGATCGAGATTTCATGTTGACAGCTGTCAAACAAAATGGACTAGCTCTTCAACATGCGGATAAATTATTAAAAAAGGATCGGAAAATAGTATTGGAAGCTGTTAAGGAAAAGGCATATGCTTTTAAATATGCCAATAAATCATTTACAAAGGATAGAGAATTTATGTTGGAGGCAATTGAATCAAATCCGTATGCATTTGGAAATGCCAATGTTTCGTTTAAAAAGGATCGACAATTCATGTTGGATGCTGTGAAGAGAAATGGACTAGCTCTTCACTATTATCAAGATGATTTATTTAGGAAAGATAGAGAAATTGTATTGGAGGCAGTTAAAACAAATGGGAAAATACTCAAACATCTCAGCGAATCATTTAGGAAGGATCGAGAAGTGGTGTTTCAAGCTTTTCAGAATTGGAAAAAAGCACTGAAATATGCGAGTGCATCACTCAGGAATGACAAACTCTTTCTCTATTGGATTTCCAAGCATGATTTGAATACAGCTCGAGAATATTCACCACACCTCGTTCAAATCATTGAGAATCACAGCAAATTGCAGACTAAACTGTCAACGAATATTATTGACATTTACTCGAAAAGTTTCAGTGATGAAAATGAATTGTATTACTGTTTGGAGTTGCCTAAGAATAATCCAAAATCAAAGAGTACACTTTTCAATCTCAATCCAACCTATTCTACTGTATTCATTGAAAAATTAGTGATATTTCAAATATGGAAACGATTGACTGAATCAACAATTGATATTTTCTATTTGGAATCTCCAAATTACTATTTATTTTGTTTCAGATTGGAGAAATTTTTAGAGGAAAATAGTACTCAACCAATTGGTTTGAAGGATTTGAAGAGAGTTGTGGAAACTATTTCATCCAAATTCGAAACATCACATTATAACAAGAAGGAAACCAGTCAGATACTTTACTTTTTTACAAAATGGACAGAAAGCGAGAAGACATTCAACAATTACAAACAAATATTATCAAAATATAATGAGCTACATGGAGACTTGTCTAAAATATTCAGAGCTATGAATCAGTATTACAATTATTTCAGTAATGATTATGATTTTATTTCGATATTGGGACATGGAGGTGAAGGAGTGGTATTAAAGGTATTCCATAAATCGAGTAGGTCACTTAGAGCTGTTAAATTCAAATATAACACCGAGGAAAGCGAAGAATCTGGGAATGAATTACTGAAATTATTGAGACGAAAAGATTTGACTGGAAAGATCAATTACTTTGATTGTGGAATGATACATAATCACCTCTATTCTGTCATGGAATTGGGCGAGGAATCTCTGGCAGATTACATATCGAGGAATTTTGAAATTTACATGAATCGAACTGCAAAATCTAAAGACAAACTGATAGAAATTCTTCAAATATTTATCAAAGTATTGGAATCAGTCAAGTCCATACATGATCACAACATTTTACACAGAGATTTGGATCCACAAAATATTGTCAAAATTCAAGATGAGTACAAGATTATTGATTTTGAAACTTCAAAGGTTATCAAGACAGGAAACTCAATCACCATTGCTCGTGGAAAATATTCATACATGTCACCTGAAGTGTCACATGACAGTTACACAGATGACATGTTAAAAAATGGTGATGAAATGAAACTAGCTCATAATATTGGAAACATTACAATTTCATGCGATTTATTCTCATTGGGATGTATTCTCTTAAAATTACTAACCAATGTTCCATTACAATTGGATGAGCAATTTATTCATGATTCGGATATTTCAAAATATAATGATAATTTTACCTATTTTAATGTGTATGGAAAGTACTTCTTCACTGTCGTGACGACATCTGAAGGAGAAATGAAACTACACTATGCCATTGAAAAATTAATCAATAGCTCAATTATGGAGGAGTATGGAGTGAATCATTTATTGATTCGATGTATCATTACAATGATTCAAAGAGATTCTTCCAAGAGATTATCTTGTCGTGTGCATAAAACTACACTGGAGAGTGTGGTCAAGTTTTTGAAAGGAGAAAGCAAAGAATTGAAGGAGATTACTGATTATAAGGAAATTATATCACTGAAAAGCTATTCTCAATTGATTGAGGAAAATAAGAAACTAAACGAAAATCAGAAAGCATTGGAGGAGAAGATTAAAATCTTGGAAGAGGAAATAAGGAAATGGAAACTAAATAGTCAATAAGATTATAATATTTTCAAATTCCTTTAAACTTCAAAAAAGAGAAATTCCCTTAAAAATATCATTTTCTTAATCTTGATTCAAACCTTTTAAAACTTTCGAATATTTCACTAACATTATCATGTTTAATACTTGGATTCTCATACGTTGTTTGGTAATTCCTCATATTTGAACCTATTTTAAACATAGCCTACTTTAACCAGTTATTTCAATTTGTTCTCAAATTACAAAAAATAACACAATCATAAACAAGAATTACAACAATTAGTATCAAGTTTGGATTTTGATTTGAAAAATGTTAATAAAATCAGATATTTTAATAAAAGATGAAGGATATTGGAAACAAGATGAAAAAACCATCGAATCAATTACTGGAAAACGATTCAGAACAATTTACGAAATTCTAAGTGAAGAGGTGGATTTAAATTTGGATAATTATAATAGTGATCGACATATTTTGAGATCAAGAGTTGAAACCTTATATGAAAAGGCAGAGAATAAGGCAATGCCTTTGTGTTTCGTATTGGTAAACATTATTCGATACATTAAACAGTTGAATATTCTGGTTTGGGGAGACAAAACAAACCCCATCAAGCAACTAACATTCCTCTCCATGTTTGGAATCCCATCTGATGTGAGTGGAGTTACTCGAATCGAGGCAATTGATTCTGACAAGTGCAAAGTTTCACAAAATAGTTTCGTCTTGGAGGTACTATCCACAAAGGTGATCAACAACTACAACATATACACCAATAGGCTTGTTAATCACCCAATATGTGAGAACTGGTACGATGGAATCAAAGTGAACAATTACACATTTGTTGATTTGACATGTGAAGATTTTTATGTGGCATACAAGAAATCAATTCCTAAACTCATTTGCACCGTTCTATGGTGAGATAATCAACAACAATCATTCCTGGATTTCCATGGAATCAGTTTCTTATTTAGAATTCAGTTGCCCATTGATGATTTTAAAATAATTTATTGAACGTGTTGAAAATTGTTGATTATTTTTAACAAATCTGTTTTAACGTATTTGCTAAAGCCTTAATAATTCATCGCGAACTACTGCTAGTTTAAGAATTAATTTTTTAATTTTTATAAAAATTGATAAAGAGAATCATCAATTCATCATAATGGAAGATTAATATTGACGTTCCACAGTTTGAATGCTCTTCCACAATGAACCCATCTGATTTCGTGATAATTGAAGGAAACCAATTCCAACTTGTTTCAGTGGTTTCATTTTACTAATGTAAATTAATCCTTCATCATTAATTCCATTGTAACTGACATCGAGATAGGTCAATTGATTCATTTTGTTGATGAACGTTAATGCTAGATTGTCAATTGCACTTCCACTGATATTAAGGAAGGTCAACTGGTCCAATTGACTCAATAATTCAACTATTTCATTATTAATACCATTATAAGAAATATCTAGAAGTTGTAATTGTTTCAATTTGATAATATTCTTAGCTCCTGAATTACCAATTTTAGTATTGCAAATGTACAGATGTGTTAATTGAGTCATTTCACAAATATGTTTAACACCAGTTTCTCCAAGTTTAGTATACGAATCGCTCAATTGTTTCAACTGTTTCATTCCACTTATAAACTTAGCTCCTTTAGATCCTATCTGATTATTATTAATTACTAAAACAGTCAATTCATCCAAATTACTGATATATTCAGCTGATTTATCACTAATCAAATTCGAATAAATATTTAATGTCTTTAACTGCTTGAATGAACTAATTAATTTGACTTGTTCATCAGTAGTTTCATTACCTGTAATACAAAGATACGTCAATTTACTCAATTGACTCAAATATTCAACTCCCTCATATGTAATATTATTTTTTGAGCCAATTGAAAGTTTGGTCAACTGGCTCAATTTACTTAAATAATATAGACTTTCATTTCCAAAATTATTGTAAGAATCAACATGAATATCGGTTAAATTATTCAATCCTGCAAGATATTTAGCTCCTTTCGAATCAATGGTTTCACTACTTAAATAAACTTTCGTTAATTTTTTCATAGATTCGAATATTTCACAATCGAATCGATTCGGAAGTCTAAACTTGTCAAAAACTTGCAGATTTTCCACATTTTCCAAAAATTGACCTTTCAATTTCGTATCTTTTCTAATTGTTAACGAATGTTTAATTCCATTTCGAATAACATTAAACCATTGTTTAGAAACTAGGGCGCATTTCATCACTAAAAATTTAAAATCATCATGAAAAGATAAAATTTCAAATAATTCGTCATTACTGAATAAAAATACTTTTTTAAACGGATCTTGTTTGGAATGAGAAAAGTCAACATTGCTATTAGAAACTGGTGGAAAATTGTTGTTGATCATATCACTCATTTTTTTTACATTAATTTACAATGTCAATTGTTATTAATAATGGATAAGAATTTATTATCAGAAAACAAGATGAAATCATTCAATGAATTCATCATCTTCAACATCCTCAAAATATTCGTCATCATCTTCAACATTCTCATCAACTTCATCCTCATCATCATCATCATCCTCATCCTCATACTCATCACCTACAACAATGCCTCTATCCATGAGTCTTAATTGGATTTTCAATCTGTTGTCTGTTGCTATTTTTAATCCCAACTCTTCAGCTCTTGTGAATAATTCGAGAGCTCTCTCTAGATCTTCATACTCGTCTCTATTGGTATAGAACTTTCCTAAATCATTCATAGCACCTGGATCACCTTGATTAACTGCCTTCTCAAGCCAAAATCTATTCTTTTCTTTATCTTCATAACCAGGTTCAAAATGGAACAAGACTGCCAGGTTAATTTGAGCTCGTACATATCCTTGTTGTGCAGATCTGGTTGTCCACTTGAATGCTTTTCTAATATTCTTTTCAGTTCCAACACCATTTGCATAAAAGCTCCCAATTTTATATTGAGATTTCATAATTCCATGTTTTGCTGATTTTTTGAACCACCTGAATGCTTCTTTGTGCTCTTTCCTCTTTTCAAACACCCTTCCAATGGTGTGGTGGGATGGCAAATGTCCCAATTCAGCAGCTTTCAAATGAAAATCAAATCCTTGAGATTTCTGATTGTGTGAATAAAGGGTAGTACCTGCTTTGTAAAGGAACAGAGGATTGGAGGAAGAGTTTGCAATTTCTACAAATAAATTGACTAGATCCTGATAATTTTCCACAATAATGCGTGGTAGTGCGAATTCAGTCAAGCTGGAAAGGAATGATGCTTTTCGTAAAACCTCACTGAAAGTGCCAAAATCAATCCGGTTTCCCTTCAATTCCAGTGTAACCAAGCTATTGAAATATTTACAAGAAAATACACGTTGTAAATCATGTATTGGAAGGTCACAATTATTAAGGTCCAATTGCGAAACTCCTTGCATTGCACTACTACTACACATATCCTCAATACTAAAAGAATCAGTTTTTAACACTTCGATCCGTACCCATGGAAATGCATAGAAAACGTGATGAAAAGATTTGGCCACCAATTGGAAACTCAAAATTTGAAATTTGTACTGAAAATTCTCAAGGAAAGACCGAATATAAAAAGCAATATCAGGTGGGATGTAGGTTCTTGCATGGTTGGTGACCATTTTTTTTGTAGTATTTTCTTTTTAACCAACAATATGTGTTTGTTGAAAGGTAAATTTGAAAACGTGATTTGGGTTTACAAAAATTCTAATTAGGTAATAGACTTGAAGTCACAAATCAAATCCTCAACGTACTGGGCTCGCAATTAATTTTCCTGCAATAATATTTTCATATAATCCTCATTGATAATTAAACAACTCGGTTGAGAATTTTAGGACGTCTCTGATTATTGGCAACTTAAATATTGGCCATAACGAAAGTAGAAACTATAGAAAAATCATGGGATTGGTATTGATTCAAAACCAATCGGACAATCCTTAACTCTTAAACGTATAAATCTATGATTCAGAAACGAATCTGGTTTTACATATGCCTCAAATTCATAAAAAGTATTGTTGAAAAATATCTTTCATTTGTAGGAATCTTAATTGCATGATTGCCCACAAATACATCATTGTTGGAAATGAACTGATAGATCTGTAATGGAATATTAGTTGCCAAGAAATACCCATCATTAGTACGTCATGATTATTATGAATATAATTTTGAAGATAGGCAATAAACATTCCGAGTAGCTAATGTACTGTTTTCCTTTGTAAAATTTAAATATAAAGATAAATTAATTATTGTTGGTGCAAATTCCAAATCAAAATTCTAATAATATTGATGAATATCTTTGTAATTATTAATATAATTTGTATTTCTCCTTCTTGCTACTATTATTGCGAATCCAGCAGAGCATTTCACCATCTAGAGAATACCACAACCAACCAAATCAATTAATCCAAAATTTGTTAACTTTTTTGCCTTTAAATTCAAACATTTTTTAATCTACAGTTTTCACCACAACCAACAAATTTACCTTTGGTAAGGTTAATAATTATTTAATATTACTATTCGGAATAGAGTAAAATTCAAAATTGATTAAAAGTATACGGATAACAATCATCAAACAATAATTTTCATTAAATTATTATTATCATTATCATCATCTAATAAATAACAATAAAAATCAAAGACAATATTGAAGCGATTTTGATAAAAAATGTCTTCTGCAACAACCAGCAAGAAAAAGAAGACCAAACTTTCACTGGAGGAATTTTGTAAAATCAATGGAATTGAAACACCTTTAGAACAATCTAAACAACAAGCGGAAGCAGCTGAAGAGGAAGTTGTTTATGTTGTTGATAATTCTTCATCATCAAAGAAGAAGAACAAGGCTTTGAAACAAGGCGATAAGAATAGACACACATCGAGGAATACTTCAGTAATTTCATATATTCAAGATGATTTTGAAGGAGATGTTTTATATGATTATTATGATATCGGAGATGATAGTGATGAAGATGATGACGTTGTTATTGTTCCTTCATCAACCGATTTAGTCCATCGTGATTTATTAACTGAAAATCAAAACCTCATAATGTCTTCAGGAAATAGTACTGCTTTGGAGAATGCAGGTTTTTCAAGAGATAATGTTGCTGGATCATCAGCCTCTTCATCTTCTTTAACTAGTAATAATGTCAATTCTAAACATTCAGGAAGAATTAACCTTTCAACATCCATAAGAACAGATATTTCCAAGGTTGAAAAGAAGGAACTCAACTCTAGAATTAAATTAGCTGATAAATTGGAAGCAAGAGCAACAGTTGAACAAGTTATTGATACTAGAACAAGAATGATTCTTTTCAAATTGATGAATAATGGTTTCTTCTACTCTGTCAATGGTTGTGTTTCAACAGGTAAAGAAGCTAACGTTTATATTGCTTATGGTGACAAGGAGGAAGAAAATTCCGAAAAGCAATATGCTGTGAAAATTTACAAAACTTCAATTTTGGTTTTTAAGGACAGAGATCGTTATGTTACTGGTGAATATAGATTTAAATCTGGTTATTCTAAACACAATCCAAGAAAAATGGTTAGAGTTTGGGCTGAAAAGGAAATGAGAAATTTGAGAAGATTAGAAAATGTTGGTATTCCATGTCCATCAGTTCATGTTCTCAAACAACACGTTCTTGTCATGTCATTTATTGGTAAGAATGGTTGGCCAGCTCCTAGACTGAAAGATGCCAAGTTGACTGAAAGCAAATATAGAGAAATTTATTTGGACATTATCAAATCTATGCGTACAATGTATCAAAAGGCCAAACTTGTACACGGTGACTTGAGCGAATATAACATGTTATACTTTAAGGGAAGAGTTTATATTATTGATGTTTCTCAGAGTGTTGAAAATGACCATCCAAATGCTCTCGAGTTTTTAAGAAAGGATTGTGAAAATATCAAGAACTTTTTCTACAAGAATGGTTTGACAAATATTATGACCACTAGAGAATTGTTCGATTTTGTTACTGATATTACCTTGAGAGATGAACAAATTGATTCATACTTGGAAACCATGATGGAAAAGATTCAAGACAGAGCTCCAATTACAGCTAAGGAAGAAGTCGATGCTGAAGTTTTCAAACAAGTATATATTCCACGTACATTGGGTGAAATTATGGACTATGAGGCCCATCGTGATAAGGTAGAAATGCAGGAAAACACTGACGATATTTTCTACAGAAGTGTTACAGGTATCAATATGAACCTAGATGGTGCTGCCACTACACCATACGGTCTTACGGAACAAGAAGCTCAACAACTTGAGGGTCAAGAAGAGGCCAATACCTCAACACCATCACAGACAGAAGCCAGCAGTGCTACTACTGTGGAACCTCCTGTTATTGTTGCATCATCTGAGGAAACACCTCAACCAGAAGAGCAACAAACAACAAGCAGTAGCATTCCAGAGCAACCAACAAATGAAACAGCACCTGGTGGTGAAGACAATGATGAAGAAGAATTAATCATTGACGATTCTAGCTCAGAAGAGGAAGATGGAAAGAAAGGTAAAAAGAAGAAGCCACCTCTTCCAGATCTTTCTGCCATGACTAAGGAAGAACGTAAGAAATGGGTAAAGGAGTACAACAGAGAAAGAAGAAAGACTAAGATTCCAAAGAAGGTCAAAAAGAAGCTGGAAAAGAAACATAAGAGTAAATAAATTTACCTTGTCCATATTAATGCTGGTCAACATTTAAAGATCTGTGACCTATTTTGTTCTGTGCTACTGAGCGATTCTCTCAATATCGGAGTTCAAAACTTTTTCACACAATAATCAAAGTGCTACCACAACGACAACAAACAATGCCATCATATTTTGCTGAACAACCATCCATACCAATATCAATCTATGGTTTCGCTAATTTAGAGAGTTATCCCACCTCACAAACAGCATTTCAAAAAAAACCTTCACTCACACTTATCTTCATCTCTTCACTTATCTTACGAAATTAATTTTCAAAACTCCTTGAAAAAAAAATGATCGGCAACTCCTTCGTAGCGACGACGCAATCAGCAGGATATTCCACGGTGATGATGAGGACGAATAAAAATCATAAAAGTGGTGGTGGTGATGGTGGTCATCTTCGTCTTTTTGATGGTCCTGTAGGCTATTTAATGATGATTGCTGTTGTGATCGTGTTATTGTCAATGATGGTCTCATCTACGGAGGCTTTTAATATTGGAGCAAAGCCTACAGTATTAAATCCCAAGTTGGTGAAAATTTTGGGTAATAATTGTACAGCAGAGTCTGTGGAAAGAGACTGTGGAGGAATGATGACTTTGGTCTGTATTGAAGGAAGGTGTTCATTGTGTAATGAATCAGTTCAATGCAGCTCACAGATTGATTCCGTATACAGTTGTAAATTTATGGGTAATTATGCTAATATGACAAACTATACTTCATCAGGAGGTGTTTGTGCACACAAGGATTTGGGTGATTTCTTTAGTTTGTTTGATTTATTTTCAGTTTTGACCAATTTCATTGGTTCTGTTTTGAGTAGTGCTGGTGGTACAGGAGGTGGTGGTGTTTTCGTTCCTCTCTTGCACGTTCTTGGTCGTTTCAATGCTCAGGAAGCTGTTCCATTGTCAAAAGTCATGATTTTCGGTGCTGCTGTCACTAATGTTTTCACATTATTCTTTAGATCTCACCCAGTAAGTGTTTTTTTTGAAATGTGTGAAAATTAATTTCTGATAATTTTATAGTATGCCGACAGACCATTGATTGATTATGATATTGCTTTAATGATGGAACCTGCAACCTTATTGGGTACAATTATTGGCGTATTTTTGAATATCATTTGTCCAGAATGGGTTATTGTCCTTTCTGTTATTATTGTCTTGACAATTACAACAATCTTGACATTTAGAAAGTTTTTCCAAAGAGCTAGAGTTGAATTTGCATTTTTATGGAAGAAAAAGAAAAAGGATGAAGAAACTGAACCATTGAATAAGGAACAAGAACCTATTGTTTCCGAAAATAAGGAAGAGGAACAAGCTCAAGGTTACGGATCTGTTAATAAGGAAGAAGAATCGCTTGTTAATACTCAACCAATTTTCGTTTCTCAACAAGTAGCTGAAAAGGACTTTGTCAAGCCATCAGCATGGACAATTGTTAAGAAAACTCCATATTGGAAGATTTTTGTTTTGATTGTTTGTTGGATTATTATTTTCACTTTGAGTTTATTGAGAGGTGGTGAAGGTGCTCCTTCCGTTATTCCTGGTTTGGAAATGTGTAGTCCAGTTTATTGGACTTTGGTCGGATTGAGTTTCCCAATTATTGGTGCAATCATGATAATTGTTGCCGCCTACTTGCTTATTGATTACAGAAGAAAGGTCAAGAGAGGTCACGTATTTGTTCAAGGAGATGTTAAATGGAATTGGATTAACGTTACTTTCTATCCTGGTGCTTGTTTGATTGCTGGTATTTTAGCTGCCATGTTGGGTATTGGAGGTGGTATGATCAAGTCTCCACTCTTGCTCTTGTTGGGATCTGACCCTGCTGTCGGTGCTGCCACTGCTGCTTTCAGTAAGTTTTATAATTTCAAATGATGAAGATAACAATTATTTTAGTGATCTTCTTTACTTCTTCAATTTCCTCTGCTCAATTTGCTATTGTTGGTAGAATTCCATTCGATTACGGAATGCTGTATGGTCTTACTGGATTTGTCAGTGGTTTTGTTGGTTATTTCTTTGTCACTTTTGGTGTTGAAAGATGGGGTAAGAGATCACTTATCATTTTGTGTGTTGGTCTCGTTTTGCTCTTTGCCACAATGCTTATGGGTGGTGTTGGTATTTATGATGTTGTTATTGATCTCCAACAAGGTGTATACATGGGCTTCCATGATCCATGCAGAGCTTAATCAGTTTAATTTATTTTATGTAATCTATTACCATTTTTGAAATTGTAACTAAAAAATTCATAATTTTTCTTTATATTTTACTCTAGTTTATTAAGCATTCTCGATTTTGCAAATTTTGTGAATCTTGTTGATTGAGTCAATTGTAAATGTTACTTTGACCCTATCCACAAGCAGCTCGTGCTCATCCTCAATCTCATTATTCTTTGTCTTTTTGTAATTACTTCTAATGTCTTGGGATAATACTTGAGTTAAAAATTCAATAAATTCGTCCAATTCTTTCTTCTTATCAAAGAATTCCAAAGTATGAATACGTTCTTTGAGCTGTGTTGTGGCCAGCTCTGAAAATTCCACTTTAAATTTCTCAACATTTTCAACTGGATCTTTGATCCATTCAGGAACTTTAACATTTGCAAAGTTATCGTATCCATCAATGTATGGTTTGATATCAAGAACAGCTGTACCATCTACGAGATCAGTTCCCTTCAAATGAAGTGTTCCATCACTATCAATACGATCAATTTCCACGATACTCAATCCAATAGCATTATATCTATGAGGAGTTCCTGAATATTGTTAGTTCCATAATTCTAAATTGAAAAACCTACTTGAAGCATAAATACCAATCTTCTTATTTCCCAATCTTGGTGGTCTAATCTTGGCTTTAATTGCATTTTGGCTATCTGTTTCAGCTCCTTTTGTTAAATTTGTATTCAAGTTGAATTGGAAAATAATATAACAATGAGAGTATTCACCCAAACCATCCATAGATGAAGAAGGATTACAATGAGGTAAAAGTTTCAAAATTGCTCTTCCCTTATTTACATAATAAGGTTGTCTAGGACATCCATTTCTAGTCTTGTACACTGATCTCAAATATCCAATAGGTTTAATAGGTAAAAATGGAAATGGTTCAGAACTTGATGATTTTTCAACTTCAGTTGTTACTACTTCTGAAGAAGGTGTCGAGTTGATTAACAATTTTTGTTCAATTTCTCTGATTTTTTGTTCAGCTCGCACTCTTCCAGTTCTTTCCATTTGTCTATTTGTTGTTTCCTTCTCCAATTGAATTTTAATTTTCATATATTCTCTATAAATATAAATTATCACTGAAAGTAATATTACAATGACTGATGTGACAATATAAATTAAATGTTCATTTAAAAATCCTTCTCCGAATAAATTATTTGATGACAAAATTGTTCCTTCTTCTTGTTGCGACATTTTTTTTTTAAATTTCACAATTCAATTAATTGTGAAACTATTGAATCAAATAAATTAATTTTTATTCCAAAACCTTGAGAGTGGAGAGCTCTTTTCATTATTGTTGTTACTATCAGGGGATTCTTCCTTATCATTTTCATCTCGTGACTCTTTTTTAAATCTATCAAAAAAGCTAGTTTCATCATCATCCGATTTGTCCGATTTGTTATTGTTGGTGGTGGATGGTATTTCAGCAGCTCCAGCCATAACAGAACCTGTTTCCAATGCTGATGATGTCACTCCAGGTGTCACTATTGAAGATAATGTTGTTGTTTGTTGATTTGGGGATGTGAGTGACACAAATCGTTTGATAGCCGAACGACGTCCATGAAACCGTCCTATTGAGTATCCCAATAATGCAGAACTAGCCATAAACAAGGCAATCATTGACACATCCGAGGTCTTTTTCCCAAAATTTGAAATATCAGCATGTAATTGTTGTTCCTGAGAAATTGTCTGATTCAACTCTCGTAATTGTTCCTCCAATTTCTGTTGATGTCTCATTCTCTGTACATAACCCAAGTAGGCTGCCATACATGATAAAGCAGTAGCAGTAAACGAGAGAAGATTCTTGTGATTCTCGAAAACTGTCCTATACCTCTCATAGGCTGTTTTAACTTTGCTCATTTTCCAATTATTCCGATCCAAAATCAATTAATTGATTTAATATTTAAATATTCCTTTTTGTTTGTTAAATCTTGATGATAAAAACAAAGATGATAAGAAAATTTCAAAGCCTTCTTGGTGGCGCCTTTTTTTTTTTTAAAATTTCTAAAAAAAAAATTAATTTTGATTGAAACCTTTTCGCCTTTTTGGAATCGCTTTTTTGCCAAGAAGAAATTTTAGCCTTTGAAATTTTAACATCATTAGCCTCCTTCTAATAATATTGAATATTGATTGTAGATATAAATTTGAAAAGAGAGGTTTCGAGGCCATTTAAAAACGGTTTGATTTGGACAAGGCTTTAATTTATTTGTAGAATAATAATTATTGAGGAAAAAAGTTTTTCGGAATGATTGATGGTGGTGATTTAGGGTCTAGTAGTAGTGGTGGTGGTAGTTGGAATAATATTATGAATGGAATAATTGTGGATTTGATGATGATGGAAAAACAACAGGTGTTTAATTTTGTAGATGATAATAATAATACACATGATACTCCACCACCTGTTTGTTTGAGTGATGAAACTTGTAATTTAGGAACACGTAAGTGTTTGATTGTATTGGAAATTAATTGAGATTTTTCGGAATTGTAGAAGTTCCAGTTTATGTTTTTCTAGGATTAATGATTGCTGCATTTAGTGTGGCTGCATTATTTAATTTTGCACTAACTATTCGAGAAATAATTCACAAATCGATATTCAAATCGAGGCTGATTTTCTATATATTAACTTTAATTTATTTAATTGCTAAACTGGTATTCTTTCTAACTCATCTGGGAGCAAAAATTGGAGGATTGTCTCCTAAACAAGTGGATGGAAATAATGATTTCAATCCTCATATCTACCTTTCTACTCATATCATATGGTTTTGGAGTGGAACATTATTCTCGAGTGCATTCCTGTGTTTGTGTATTAATTATACGGAAATTTATCTCTATTCACAGGGGATTTCAATAGAGTTTGCAAAGGAACAGACAAAAAAGCTGAAAATGGGTGTTATTTCAGTAATTACCATGATTCACATTGTAGATCTCATTCTCTTTGTTTCTATGATTGTTTTCTTCCATTTAGGAGACCCATATATGGTGAAAGCAGTCCTAGTATTTCAATTACTGTTCAATATAGCACTGAGCATTCTAGTTGTTAGCTTTTTCATTTTGTGGATTTATGTGAGCAGGAAATTTTTAGAGTGGAAAGGGATGCACTCTCACGAAAGATATATTATTCTGACAAAGAAACTATTTTTTGTGGCATGCTTTTTTGTCTGCCTTATTATCCTTAAAGCTCTTGCAAATATTTTCCTCACAACCTATGTTTCTCTGTGTGGACCTATTTGTGTGAATGTGCAGATTATATTGAATAGTTGTACGTGCTCTGTTGGAGATTTGATTCCACTCCTCTCCCTGTATTATACATTCTGGTTCTTTGATAAACCAAAAAAGAAAGAAGGAGAAAATAACAACTTGCTTATTCCAGTACCTAAGAACAACACTGAAACTGCTTTGAGAACACTTCATAACACCTCACTGTCTTCCCTTCCAGTAGATGTTCAATTAATAGACGACTATGAGGAATAAGTTAAATAATTTAATGGGTATGTGTTAATTAAAAATTGAAATATATCTACATGTTGCCTAGAGCTTGAGTTTTTTCATGGAAATTCCATTCACAGAAACCTTATCAGTTTCAGTAGGTTGTTGAGTTGTGGCCTTACTCATTGATAAGGTTGGAATGAATGGTTTTGTACTTGGTTGAGGTTTAGCACCTGCAAGATTAAGAGATAGAGCTGGAATAACTGGTTTTGTGGAAGGTTTAACTTCTTTTGGTGGTTCGTCTTCAATGTCATCTTCACTTGAATAGTCGCTATCATCTGATGCTGGGTCATCCTTTTCACTGAGATCTTCTTCTGAAAACTGTTTTTCTTCTAATTTCTCCAAGTTGTTTTGGTCTTGAAGGAGAAATGCTGAAGCAGTAGGTGATAGAGAATATCCACTTCCACTATGTACAATTGAGTCAACCTTGCTTCCAGGAATACTCATTTTTGGAACTGCAAGATTATTGGTTGGTAAATTGGTGGTATTTGTAGTATTTGAGGAATTTGTATCTTTGGTAGGAATATTCAATTTAAAGGAAGGTGGAACAGTTGCATTGTTCGTATTAAGTTTGAGAGAAGGTATTCCAAGTTTTGTTGGTTCTGGTTTTTGTGCTTCTCCTCCATCACTTTCATCACTTGAATACTCATCAGAGTCTTCTGTTGGTGAAGTGACAGCTGTTGTGGTAATAGGTGTTGTGATTGGTTTTGGTTGAGTATTTGCAGATCCTATACCTGAAAGTTTAGGTATTGGGAATGACATAGGTACTGGTTTTACATTATCTTGTTGTGTATTGGTTACTTCATTTGTTGAACTATTTGGTTGATTTGTATTTTCTGGAGTTCCAACACTATGTAAATTATCCACATTTAAAGCAACAGAAGTTGTCAAATACTTTTGAGGAGAGAATCCCAATGAGCTCATCATGTTTAAAAAACCTGTTATGAATGCAACAGCAAAATCATGAATAACTTCAGTTGGAACTACTTCATCCAAATCCTCTTCATCACGAGGCATCAATCCTTTTTCTTCTCCGACAGCTTGCATTAAATCAATAAATTGTTGAGTTGAAATACCATATAATTCCTTGATTGACAATAATTCATAAATTACACTCGCAGTATCAATGCTCACCCAATGAGTTTTTGGATGTTTTGGTAGTTTTATAATATGTCCAACAGAAAACACACGAACAAACCAATCTCCAAAAACCTTTTTTCCATTTCTTGCTGTATTAATTTGTTTCCACATATGAAGAGTACATTGGGCTTGTAATTCACTTTTAAAACCATGTTGATCGGTTTTTAAATGCTCCGTCACTGATCCACACCAATCAGTAAATTTCATTAAATCATCAAGACTAAATTTTCCATTCTTATCAAAATCTAACATGAACAAAACTGCGAGTTTTTTAAAATCAATAGGATATTCATCGAGTGATTGTAATTTTTTAGCTTCCTCTATTGTCAAGTATTCCCTCTCCGGTTTTTTCTTTACGAGTTGATATTGTTTTTGTACGTGGGAACGAATTGTTGTATTGATTTGTCCCATTTTTTTTAATTGGTTATATTTGAATTTATCAAGTTGATGCCATCAGAGAGGATGATGAAGTGATGATTACCGAATCCACACATCACAATGATGAATTTAATTTATTCGAACGTTGGACAATTTGGATAATGACTCGATGAAAATTAATGTTTTTTGAGAGGTGATGATGGTATCATACCTGGGTGGTTTCATGTTGTTTTAGCATTGTTATTCGAAAGCAATAAATAGGAGAGGTTTATTTTACATTAAAAATCGATATTAATTCAAAATTGTGTTAATAAGTTATGGTCGTTTAAATCTGACAACAATGGCACTAATATTGTCGTTACTTCCCTTCTTATTGAAAGCATAATCTCTAAGTTTAGTACTGGCTGTAATTGGATTAGTTTCGTCTCTAATTTCTCTTACAGCTTCTTCCTCGGAAACAAAATCAAAAACACCATCACAAGCAATAATCATAAATTCATCCTTTTCACACAATCTTATGGCTTGTGTATGAGGATCAGAAATTACACCTGGATGGAAAGTTTTATCACCAATAGACCTAGAAACAGCAAGGCAAGCACTGATACGATTATTAATTATTGATTTACCAGCATCCCTTACACGTCTTCTTTCATCACTATCTGAAGGTCTGTGGTCAACTGTAAGAGTAATTGGTTTACCATCTCGACATAGTACAACTCTGGAATCTCCTACATTTCCCACAAAGAGGAATTTAGAATCACGGGTTGGCATGTACACTAAAGTTGCTGTTGAACCATCTACACTATTTTGCTCACAAACAAGTTCGTCAGCCTCAAGGAATGATTCCCTAATGATTATTTGAATAGCATCAACTGATGACATTCTCAAAATATCAAACTGTTCCACAGCTCTTTCTTCAGAAAGTTTTTGTTCGGCTTCTTTTTCCATAAAATGTTTCCTCAATAACTTGGTTAATGATTTTGCTTCCTCTCTAATTAAAGCTCTAGAATTATAATCTTCAAAATATCTTGTTAATAAATTTTCATATTTTGTCAACTTGTCAAGGAAGACAGAATGTAAAATTTCTGATGCTTGCTTTGAGGCTTTTGAACCACCATGACCATCAAATAAACCAATACAAGTTTCGTTTAAAACACCCATGTCACTTGTAAATGATCTAAATGACATGTTACAGTATAAAGCATCTTCCATTGATGGACGAGTGCCTTGAAATTCACAATAACCAGCTGTCAACCAGTCATTCTCTTCAATTTTACTTGCTTGAGAATCGTGCTGTTTAATGGTTGATTGAATTAAAATTCAATAAATACTTACTCTTTGAGCAGTTCTTGGATTTCCTCTCTTTCTATTTCTATTTCTTTCTTGTGCTAATTTAAATAATGCTTCATCATCATTAATAACATCAAGAATAGTTGCTGCAGGTTTCGATTCATCACCACTATTTGTTGGATTAGTTTGAACATTATCGACTGATGTTACAATTGTTTCAGCACTGGTAGAAGTAGAAATAGGTTGTTCTGTAGCAGAGGAGGAGGTTGTTGATGGTTGTTCAATAGTTGTTGATGGAGATGTGTTGGAATTTTCTAAAGTAGTGGTGGTTGATAAGAAAGGGGCTGTTCCTCTCAAGATCGTTCCACTTCTACCTCCCCTTCCTCTCGAAGGAGGAGGTCCCTGAGTTGCCGCAGAAGAAGAAGAATTGATCTTATTCTCACTGTTCATTGTTGAAGTTTGTTCAGCTGTACTCGTTGTTGAAGAGGAGGATGAAGAATTTTCGTTATTATTATTCTCTGATGAAAGTAAAGATTCGTTCCTCTGTTGATGTTGTTGTTGTTGATGGAAAGACGTCTCGGCTATTTCTCCCTTGGAGCTTTCCGAGTCAATGTTCGTAATGACTTGACTCATTTTTAATTATTTGATGTTGATGCTCAAAAGGCATAAGCAGATGATTCGTGCTGTTTTGAGGGGGTTTGTTTGAGCGTTCGTTAAATTTTGATTTAAAAAAAACCTGAGAAAAATTGTTTTTTTAATTTTATTATAAAGTCTTAAGGTTTTACCGTACACTACAGAGGTTTTCCAATTTAGCAATGGACTAGAAAGTAGCAGGTAACGTCCTTTTTTTTGAGGTGAGCCCCAAATCAATGTAATCAGTTGAATATTCCATTGACGGTCGCCCTTATTGAAAAATGCTGGATGATGCAGAAGTGAAAATTACAAAAGACTCTTATTCTCGCTATCTGTATTATATACTCTTAATTATGGCAATTAAGATGAAATTAAATTAATAATCAAATAATAAAAAGTCAGGAAAAACAAGAAGAAAAAAATGACTTCGGGAAGAGCAAAGCCAACACCAATATTTCCCTTGACTGCTCAAATAAAACCATCCGATTCATTATTCTTGAAAAAGTCAAGTGGTGGCGGTGCTAGTAGAAGTAAGAAATCAACCTCATCAAATACAACAACACCACAAAGTTCGGAAAAGAAGTCAACAACGACATCTTCATCACAGCGAAAAAGACAACAACAAGGATCATCGTCATCACAGAGAAAAGATAATTCCGATAGTAGCAGTGATGATGAAGAAGCTTCTTTGAGTACATCCAATAATAATAACAATACAAGTGGAAATAGATCCAATACTCTGAATAGTAGTGCTGGCTCTACAAGAGATGATTCTCTGCCACCCTCTAATTTATTCACTCGATCGAGTAGGAGAAAAAGAGCTCCTGTTGTATTGGACAGCAATTTCTCCTATGAACTTTCAACAGAATCAGAAAAAGAGGAAGAGCAGATCAATAGAAGAAAGAAACAGAAAAAGACAACAACTGTTTCCAAATCTAAAGCTTCTTCTTCTGCTGCATCAGTTATTTCAGTAGTGAGCGATGATACACCTCCCCCACATAGTGAAAAATCACAGGAAATGTCTCATTCCAATATTAATGGTAACAGTAATAGGATTTCATCTTCATTTGTAGAGCCAAGATTGGATATTTCAAATACAAGTCGCAATGCAGAGAAGTCATCGAAAAGTAAGACACCAACCAAATCTCAATCTAAATCATCATTGAACTCTACTCCTGTTGCAGCAATTCCTACCGAAACACTAGCCAGTGAGGCACCAGAAGAGCCAGAACTTCCACCTATTCCAAGAGGCAGATCCAGAGCTCTCAAACAATTCAAAGAGCACCAAAATTCACTTTACAAGATTGTTAAAATATCTTTGGAATCCTTCTCCGATTTGAAGAGGTAGATATTACAATAACTATTGTAGAGTTTTATATTCTTCCTAAACATTCCGAACAAGGAGTGTTGACGTCAATGTAATAGAATCTTCAAGAAAAAGAAGAAAAAAATGAAATCAAACGTAAAGTCTCATCATGTCGGGCTCTGCTTGATGATTGTGATCATCATGTTGTTGCAACAGGTTATTCTCATCACGGGACAAGTTAATAACCGTCCAATAATTGGAATTATGGCACAACCAACATATAAGAAAACATATGGAGAATCCTATTTGGCTGCATCATATGTGAAATGGATTGAATCGGGTGGTGCTCGTGTTGTTCCAATTCCCTACGATCTTCCACAGGAAAAATTAAATTTATTATTTAATTCTTTGAATGGAATTGTTTTTCCAGGAGGTGGAACTTCTTTGAGATACTCTGAATATTACTATACATTGAAATTCTTTTTTGATAAAGCAATCGAGGCAAATAATAGAGGTGATTATTTTCCAATTTGGGGAACTTGTTTGGGATTTGAAGCATTGAATGTATTGGCTGCTGATAATCCAGATGTTTTACATTTTGGATTTGATTCAGAGAATTTAAGTTTGAATTTACATTTTGTTAATGATTACAAGAATTCTAGAATTTTTGGAAAGGCACCACTTTCAGTTATGCAAATTTTGGCTGAACAAAACGTAACCATGAATAATCATATGGCAGGTATAACACCTGAAACTTTCATGAAGAATGACAGATTGAATCAATTTTACAAAATGTTATCTGTTAATGCTGATAGAAAAGGACAAGTGTTTGTATCAACCATTGAAAGTTTGAAATATCCAATTTATGGAACTCAATTCCATCCTGAAAAGATTCAATTTGAATTCAACTATGAAGACATTAATCACTCATACGATAGCGTATTAGCTAATCAATATTTTGCCAACTTTTTCGTAAATGAAGCCAGAAAGAATCAACACAAATTTAGTTCATTTGAAGTGGAACAATCCTATAGCATTTACAATTTCAATGCCAAATTTACATTCCCAGAAATTAGCAAAGATTTTGTTCAAATTTATTACTTTAATGCTAGTAGAATTAATTTTTGAAAGAAATAATACAATTTATTAATATCTTCTATTATTGCCAGAATAGCCATTTCTACCATTTCCATAATTGTCATAATTTCTATTATTATTACCATGATAATTATCATTGTTTCTATGATTATTGCCACGATAATTATTATTGGATGATGAGGAATGATTATTTCTATTAGAATTCTTGTTTGTGTGATATCCTTTCTGTTCACTCTTTTTCACACAATTTCTCAAGTATTGAGCAATGGTAGTGGCTGAGGAAAATTCATTATTAAAACCAACATATTCGAAATATTCCTCAAAGGAGCTAACTTTTTGGATTTTGAAAACTTCTCTCTGAAGAACATCTTCAAGAGATTCGTCAGATTTAGTTTTTGGAGGAGCTCCAAAATTAATATCATACATTCTGCCTAATTCTGAGAGAGGCAAATCTCCATATGCTTCTACAACATTTCTCAAGAAGAAGACATGGAACATGATTAATTTACAAGAAACCATATTTTCTTCCCATGATTTCTGACATCTTTCATAATTGTTTTGATCTGAATGAATATTGGAAAGTTTTGGATGTTTCTTAACCACCCATAATGCATTCCTAGTACCAGTTTCATCAACCACTGCTGATTTGATTGAATCCCATGTGAAACCAGAAGGACCTAAAATGGTCAACTTGGGAAGAAACTCACCAATATTTGGACATGCATTTTTAGTTCTAAACTTTTCATCATTGATAAAGTTTTGAACTTGCTTTTTGATATTATCAAGAGAATTTGGAAAGTTTTCCATCAAATAGATCAACCATCTATGGAAATATAAATATCCATACAGTGCCTTAATAGAGGCATGTGTGACACCTTTCATAATTTCAACAACCATATTGTTCATCAATTTACAAAGTAATTCGACATATGGTTCGGCACTATCGAGGTCAATTTGTCCATTTCTGTTTGGAGTGAGAAGTTTAGGATAATATTCCAAAAGAAAGGAAAGTGAATTTTTGAAAACTGAGAATTTTGCATGAGTTTGATTAATGAACAATGGAATCCAACCATGAATTGGTTGACCCCAAACACTCTTGTACACCTCCTCATGGAAGAATGATGATTCACTTATGAAATCAAGTGGAGTTTTGATTTCCTTGATAGTTTCGTCATTTTTCAACTCAATCCAAAGTCCAATTCCAAGTGTTTCTTCCTTGTATGAAGATTTAGAATGGAAACAAATCAATTCTCGTGAGTAGGTAAGATATTTACAATCACAAGCATGTTGGAAAGCTTTGCAAACTGTTTCTACTCGTTTCAAATCAATAAACGAAAGATAGGAAAAGATGTGGATAAGTATTTCATTTGGAAAATCTTCAAAAGAAATCATTGTTTTGGTTAAAGAGTTTGTGGAATTTCTAATGCCAACAATTGAACTTTCGTCAAGTTTCTCAATAAGAATCTTCTTGAGAGCTTGTTCGGATTCGTCCTGACTTTCGAATTTTCTCTTCTTTAAACCAGAATTGAACACCTCCTCAACATTCCAATGAGGAGCCATCGGATAAATCTTTCCTTCTTGTGGCCAATGTCCAGTCTCTTGGACACGAGTAGCTCTAGAACCTTTAATATCTTTCTCAATGTGAGATTGATGAAGATGCTCCTCTTCCAATAAGAAAGCTTGCAATTGCAATAGAATGGACAAACATGAATAACTTGAACTCCATCCCATATATGGTTCTTCAGAGTGATGTGTCTCCAACATGTCCAAACAAATAAATTGTCTATAGACATGGGAATGATACAATGGAGTGAGACATTTTACAGTTGGAGGTGAATGAGGATAATCATTTGGAAAGGTAATTTCCAAACTAATGATAATGCCATAATATTTGGATGATTGTGGAGCTAATAAAGTTGCATACCAGTGAAATAAATTATTTTCAAAGGGTTCGGCGTAGACTGTATCGAGTGGATTATTCTGAATTTCAATGAAATCTTTGGATAAACGTTTTAAAGCTCTGCTGTGTGGAGTTGCTGCTGTTGAATTTGATGAATTTGATGAATTTGACATTTTAATTGAAAGACAATTGATGAAATTG